AACATGGTCTAAAGGTTTATACAACGATTTCTAGACTCCATTTTATTATTTTAGACATCCTCATAGCTGGGCCATAGAGAACTGCAAAAGTTTATTCGCCTCTAAATGTAAATGTACAGTTTTGAATGATAGTGAATGTATAAGGACAAGAAATATGTTTTACACAATACTCAGTTTGATTTTCGCTTTGGGGCACAAGGCCACCATTGTTGAGTCAAGCGTAAAATAAATCAAGGGTATATTTCCAATTCTTCAAAAATTTTTCACTACACACGGTCTTCTAACTTCCGTTTTGATGCTATTAGTTGTGGTGCTTCTTCTTGGGCACATAAATCACATTCACTTTCTCGAATGCCCGTATCCCCAAGTGCCCGTATGTTCTGTGATCCCCGAATCCCGCACAATGTGAGCAAATATAAACTCAGCCAAATCAACATCTTTCTGTTGTCAATACTGAATCACTTTTTCGTTCATTATGATCGCTCTGCTTGTCATTATTCTCCTCTGCCTTGGTAGGTGAACGTGTGATGCTTTATGTCTCATAACATTTTTACTCTGAGCACGCGCAAAGCAGATTTATATTTACCAGAGTTAATTTTAGAATATTACATGTACCGTTGTGATGCGCAAATTGATTGGTTTAACTCTCGGATCTGGTGACGTAGCTTCCGGTATCTGTGACACTGCAGCAGCTTCCTTTTCCTTCCTCTATGGTTTCTCACAGATCCCTTCATCCGCAGCATATGGGGTCCGATTGTTACGCTTTGATTAGTGACCCAGTAGTAGACATCAGGTTTGTAGAGTTTGGAGTATTTCCAAAAGTCTAAAGAAAGCAATTACGTGTTGCCGAAGCACGGAAAGGCTTGAGACCAGCGCTATGGTCAAATGGCTGCTCATTGAGACGATAAGTTCAATCAAAATCAAAGTATTACATAACGGTTCAACACTGTACACTTACTATTTGTGACTATTTCTAGAAGTATTTAAAATAGTCGCAATCTATTACCATTCACTCGACTATTGCTGGTACCTCCACCTCTATCCATCATCACCCGCTTTCCTAGTAGCCTTAAATAAGGTACAAAAGTGAAAGTACATATCAATTTTGATCAACTAGTTCATTAGTCGTTTTTGTAATATCGTTCTATTTTTAGCGAAGTACGATATTGTTCGGCTGAACTCTTGAGCAGTCTTGAAACCAGGTTGGGTTGGGGTAAATAAAATCGCTCTTGTTCTGACCTGTTTGAACCAAGCCCTTCTAGTTACTGTTAACACATGCTGAAAACGAGGAAACTATTTCAATTGTGTTCTTGAGCATGACATTTCAAAACCACTGCGCATTTCTGCAATCAGCCTTGCACGTAAGCATTCATATGCAATTCTGCCAGTGAGAGCAGAGTTCTAACAAATGCATTCCCATTCATAAATTATTTTTAGCCTTAATAATGCACGTATGGCTTGTCAGAGTCGTTGGGATTTGGTCTGAGATCGTCCACAAGACATGAACGACTAGCAGTCAATTAATCCTGACAGTCAACTTAACTCGTGAAAGTAGACACGTCCGTATGTAGCTGATATGAAAGATTACAGTATGAGTTAGGAGTTAGCGGCATAAACAGTGTGAATGGAGTCCTAAGGCACCAGTTCCATAAGAATAGCGTTAACTTCCCTTAACTTATATGTCGAGTCATTTACATTATGCCAAGGTACATTTACTTAGGTTACGACTATGTAAAAACATCCGCTTTTGAACTTCCTTGGGACCAAAGAAGTGAAATTTCATCTACACAGAGTCCTGACGATCAATCGCAAACGGAAGAATCAAATGGTTCAATGACTGTTGAAGCGGAGGCTCAGAAGGAAATCTCCGATTCACTAAACTCAACACAAAAACCGCCTGAACCGGATACAGGAGTCGTATCTTCAGAATCAATGGGCTCACTTGCAACAAGCATACCAGGTTTTGCTCTACTTGCCTCCGGAAGCACTGTCACACCTACAACAAAAACATCTGACAACTCAGCTTTGAATACGAGCTCCGATCAATCGTCTACCCCAAATCCACCTACTTTAATATCAACCAAAAATAAAACTGAAACACTTCCCTTGCGCAATGAAACATCGATGGCAGTTTCTCAAAAGAAGGCGAATGCTGCCCACAATCCTTTGGCCCATTACAGTGAGGCGGATCAGGCGTGGCTTAGTGCCGACTCCTTCGAGTCTGAAACAGTTTTTGATGAGTTCTCGATTGATCCATGTCAATTTTTGACTGATCAAATTAATCACCACCTTCCATATCATATTTCACGCAACATGATGCATGATTTCGCAATTCGTTACGACTTTGGACACTTAAACGACTACCGTTACATCTCCATTGAAAAACAAGTAAGCCGGTCGATTTTTATGCCAATGTAAACATTTAATACTTTGACCTCAGCGTTTTTATAACGCTCTACCATTTTTGACTGGTCGTGCATCGCATAAACAACTTTACTGGTATGTTATCTGCTGGCAATGGCAATTGTCTTAGTCGAATATTTATCTTCGAGTTGCAGTGACATCAGTATACTTACCTGGTTCTTGGGGATATGTTTTGTGGTTCGAGACATCCCTGGAAAAGTTTGAGGCTACTGACTCGGCTCAAAGGCTGAACTGTCCAGCATTGGTATATAGTGTCCCCTTAACAAATACGCGAGCCAAACAAACAGCCAATGCGTTACATCAGTGACTTGTATAAACACACTTCTCATACTACAAACGATGCATTTATCGCATCGTTAACTGTCAAACTAGCGACTTTATACTTTATAATTAAGTCTCAAACATGTCTTTACGTAACGCAGGAATACAAAATTGTTGAAGACCACCCGAGCAAACTCCTAACAGAATGTTATAAAGAATCACTTTCCAATTTAGTTGATGACCTGCTTGACTTCCTTTGACCCTCAAAGCGGCACCTTCCTCTCTCAATACTGTGAGGTCATAAACACATTTGTGACCGCCTTCTGTCGGATTCCAAATCCACCATGTGACCAAAGAAAATTTGCTAATGCTGTTGTCCATTTATTACGGAACTTGGTGCAAGCGCATGAACTGCATCCCACCCTGCTTATGGTACGTAGTTTGTAGTTAAGATAACACTAAAACGGAGGCTGAGAGTGGGGAGTGGCAGACTGAAGTGTGCGCAAATTATGCGCCCTAATTCGACAAAGGCAAAAAGTTAAGGAAAGCAGACGCTTCTGCAAGGTCTTCATTCGACTCTTAATAGAAGTAAATCCGAAAAAGTGTAGAATCCTGCCGTCTTCCCATCCCTCAGTAATTTATTTTATCTTTTGCAGCTGCAAGCCTGTGCGGAGTATTAGTGGGAGATCCTTCAGCGTTTTGCCTATTGAGTTACCAGTACTTTACCTGACTAGCTCTTTCTTTGTCAGTTTTCTGCGATTCTCGAATTTCTCCAATTGCCTCTTTGGTTGAGTAAATAAACTGGAGCTTAAAAGTGGCAGCTTGACCGGAATAAACTGAGACGTTGGTGAGAAGGAGAAGTTAACTTAGCATGAGTTTACATAGGCCTTTTAGTAGCTACATATACATTGCAAAAAATTTAATTCTTGGAAAGTCCAATTAATGCTGCCGACAGTTTATGGCAAGAAGTGCAAGTAACTTAATTTTATTGCATATAAATAATCCCGAAAAATGATTTCGCAAAAACCGCTCGATGTTTAAGCACCTGTTTTTTGA